GTGCCAGGCTTCAAGTCGAAGGGAAAACAGCAGACAATAGCATCATCTACAAGTAGCGATGACAGTGTTCCATCTGACCAGATTCAAAAGCTTATTTCTCTCTTACAGACACAAATAGGCCAGAACAAAGCTTCCGCCACAGTAGTTGTTTCTATCATGCCTGTGTTTGACAAGGAAGACTCTCAAAATGAAGGTAGACGCTTAACCAATACTCATGTTAATTCAATTACATTGGACCCCTCTGTATGGATATTGGATTCGGGTGCTACTGATCACATAGCATGTTCTTTAGATTTGTTTGATGAATATCATGTTATTAAAAGAGCAGTGGTTAATTTGCCACATGGAGGACACATTGTAGTGGAACATGTGGGAAATATTAAGCTTAGAGATGGATTGTGGCTGAAAAATGTTCTACATATTCCTACCTTTCAGTTCAACATACTGTATGTTACTAAATTTCTTCAAGATTCACCTTATGACTTAATCTTTGCCTCTGATCAGTGCCTTCTTCAAGAGAAACATGGGAAGATGACTGGTTTTGCTAGAGAAGAAAAGGGCTTATACTTGCTGCTTGAACCCCCAGGAAATGTTAGAAAATCTTGCAATACCTCTGCTATTTCTTGTAGTATTGATGTTTGGCATCAAAGATTATTGGGACACTTTCCCGTTAATAAGATGCAACACCTGCAAAATTTTTCTGTTTCTAATACTAAGAGTATAGCTTGTGAAGTTTGTCACCTTGCCAAACACAAGAGATCCCCCTTCCCTATAAGCAAAACTATGTCAAATGCGTGTTTTGATCTTATACATATAGATATTTGGGGGCCCTTCATGGTAAAGTCATTGGGGGGGGGGGAGGGGGGGGGGGGGTGAACGCTATTTTCTAACCATTGTAGATGATCATTCAAGGTATACATGATTGCATTTGATGAGGGCCAAAGTCTGAAGCACAAGAGTTGGTTAAGAAATTTCACAAGTTTATTCACACTCAGTTTGGTCTATCAATCAAGGCCATACACAGTGATAACGGGAAAGAGTTTAACATGGTGAACTTCTTTGATGAGCATGGCATTGTCCACCACCGATCGTGTGTAAATACGCCTCAGCAAAATGCGGTAGTTGAACTTAAACATCAGCACATATTAAGTGTAGCAAGGGCCATTCGCTTTCAAGCAAACCTTCCCTTGGATTTTTGTGGGCAATGTGTGCTCCATGCTGCATATTTGATCAACCGATTACCGTCTCCAGTTATTGAATGGCAAAGCCCTTATCAGCGTCTACACAAGAAGATCCCTGACCTTAGCAACATCAGAGTGTGCTTTGCATCTACTCCATCTCAATCAAGGCACAAAATGGCTGCACAAGGCAGAAAAGGTATTTTTGTTGGCTTTCCTGCAAATACAAAAGGTTATTTGATCTATGACCTGCATGAAAAATTGATATTTACCTCTCGTGATGTGGTGTTTTATGAAACACAATTTCCTTCCTTTTGGCAATGAAAATCTGAATATTTCTATTGATCTACCATCTGTCTGTGGACCCTCCCTGCCAATCATTCCTATATCTAATTATGAGGAGTTTAACTTTCAAGAGTTGAACATGAGCTCTCTCTTCAAGCTCACAATGGCAGTATGAACCATGAAGCAGGACACACTAACAGTAATCTTATGCAAGCTCCCTTTTATCTTGAGCCAGTGAATATCAGCAACAACTCAAGCAATACTGTCCAACCTACACCAGGAGACAGCAACACATCTCCAGGATCTCCATATGAAAATGTCAGTAACACAAAGAATAGGGAAAGCCAACCGAATCATCCTATATGCCTCAGACGATCAAGCAAACAAAGACAAGTCCCATGCAAGCTACACGATTATTACTGTGAAGCAGTAGTAAAAGATGGGATACCTCATGTTCTTTCTAAGGTCGTTTCTTACAATGGCCTTACTCCATATCACAAGGTTTTATCAATGGCTATTACTGTTGTGGATGAGCCTAGGAGTTACAACCAAGCCATCAAGCACCCTTGTTGGAGAAAGGCAATGGATGCGAAAATCACAGCTCTACAAGAAAACAACACATGGGAACTAAGTGATTTGGCTCTGGGAAAGACACCTATCGGATGCAAGTGGGTGTATAAAACTAAGCTGAACGCAGATGGTACGATAGAGAGGCACAAGGCAAGGCTTGTAGCCAAGGGTTACACAACAACTTGGTGTGGATTACCTTGAAACCTTCTCACCAGTGGCAAGGATAACCACAATTCGGACGTTTCTAAGCGTTGCTGCTTCTAGGGCTTGGCATATTCACCAAATGGACGTCAACAATGCCTTCTTGCACGAAGATTTGAATGAAGAAGTGTACATGGCTCTACCTCCCGGATTCCAAGCTGAGAAACCACACCAAGTCTGTAGATTGCTTAGATCCCTATATGGTCTTAAACAAGCAAGTAGACAATGGAATTCCAAGTTGAATGCAGCATTACTTCACATTGGATTCACTCAATCAAAATCCGATCCAGCTCTGTTTACAAAGGGAACTGCAACAAAATTTATTACTCTGTTAGTGTACGTTGACGACATTATAGTGGCCAGTGCTCAGGTAGACTTAATACAAGAGCTCAAGCAATTTATGGATAGCACTTTCAAAATTAAGGATCTAGCCAGTCTAAGTTACTTCCTGGGAATTGAAGCAAAATATTCAGCTGATGGTCTAAACATTTGTCAACGAAAGTACGCTATGGAAATACTAGATGAAACCGAATTTCTCGGATGCAAGCCTGCATGTTCACCAATGGCGCAAAGCTTGACATTAGCTCACACTGATGGAATTCCCATTGTTGATCCCAGTAGCTACATGCGTTTGGTAGGCAGAATGTTATACCTCACTGCCACAAGGCCCGACATAGCTTACGCCGTGCAACAACTAAGCCAATTCGTTGATGCTCCGACGGACAAACACCTATCAGCGGCACATAGAGTCTTGAGATATATCAAAGCCTCTCCTGGACAAGGTTGTCTTTACTATCCATGCAACACAGATTTACAGCTCCAAGTTTTCTCGGATTCAGATTGGGCCACCTGCTTTGAGACTCGGAAATCAATCACAGGGTATTGTGCCCAGGGCCGGTTTTTAAATTTTTGTGGCCCCGTTCGGATAAATAAATGAGGCCATACCAAAATCACAATGTTTAAAGCCAATACAGTAATTTTTTCTAAGAATAATAATAATAATAATAATAATAATAATAATAATAATAATAATAATAATAATAATAATAATAATAATAATAATAATAATAATAATAATAATAATAATAATAATAATAATAATAATAATAATAATAAAATGTTGTTATGCGCAAAGGAAAAAAAAAAACAAAAGACAAATTATGGAATAAATTACAATTATAACAATAATGGTGTGCGCAGATTTCAAAAGGATTAAAAAAATACAAAAAAAAAAAAAAAACGACATCCAATGCTAGTTGCAAGTTTCAAACCTCTAACTTCCAAATTGAAACACAATAAACACATATTTCTACCATTCTTCCATGAAGCCTTTTACATATAATTGAAAAATTTTATTCTTTATTTCTAAACTAGCTAGGTAAAAATTAAATATTGGAACCCTCTAAAATTTGGGGGCCTTGTGCGGTAGCCTAGCTTGCACAGCCCAAAATCCGGCCCTGATTGTGCCTTCATAGGAGAAGCACTGATCTCAGGGAGATCCAAGAAACAAGCCATGGTTTCAAAATCATCATCGGAAGCGGAATACCATGCATTGGCTTCCAGAGTTTGTGAAGTCCAGTGGCTTACCTATCTACTTCATGATTTACAGGTTGAAATGATCAAACAAGCGAATATATACTGTGATAACAAATCGGCTATAGCAATAGCCGAGAACCATGTGTTTCACGAGCGCACGAAGCATATCGACATCGATTGCCACATTGTCCGGGAAAAGCTATCTAACTTCTGTCTGTCTCTTCTGCAAATCAAATAGCCGATGGATTTACTAAGCCTCTCTCTGCTCCATTGTTTCAGAATTTCATGTCTAAGTTGGGCACGCAAGAATTACACACGCCAACTTACCGGGGGGGGGGGGGGGGGGGGGGGGGGGGGGGATTAGACAATAAAGACCCTGAAGTTGTAGACAAATCAAGGGTAGATTAGTCTTTACTATTCCAAGAATCAGTTGTAACGGTTTATACCGACTTAGCTTCTTTACTTGTATTCTTCTTCTACCAGAATAATCTAAGTTGTATCTTCTTCTTCTCCTTTCAATGCATACTGCCACATTCTCGATCTCCCACCTGAGTTCTTCATCTCATTACTCGACAATGTTTGTGCTTGCTATTAGCTTTCATTCATCGCAAATTAACTAGAATTGGCTACATGTTTTGTTTACTTGGAAACTTATAACATTCATTGCTTTGGTTTGAAGGGCATGCTAAAGAATGTTATGGCTATTTGAGATATGTATCAAATATTAATTTGTTTAATATGTTGAATTTCTCACTATTTTTAGATTTGGTTGTTATAAAATAAATACAAGTTACCAAGTGGCTTGTAGTCCACTGGTATTGGGTTGCTCCCCTAAGTGGGAGGTGTAAGGTTCGAACCTCAATTGAGGCAATAGTGTGTATATGTAGGGTGTCCCCCTTCCTTATAAAAAAAAAAAAAAAAAAATACAGGTTCCTAAGGTTTCTATTGTATGTTATTAATCATATAACTTTTAATGTCAATTAGATTAAATTTTGAATTAATGTTTAATTTGAAATAGAAAAGTATGATATGATTGTCAAACCAGAGTTACCATCGCATGAATAGATGTATCATTTCGATTGCAGGAAAGTAAAAGACAGCAATATAGGGCAGATGAGAGTAGGTTTTATGGAAATAGTATTTGCTGTATATGGATAATAATAATACAACAAGAATCCTACTAGAAGTATTCCACTAAAGTCCTAATACACCCCACCCCTGCCCCCAAGCTCAAGAAGGGAGAGACACGATAATAAGCATGTCACGTAGAAACTCAAAACGCAGAGTCCGCAGTGGTTTGGTGAAGATATCAACCAACTGGTCTTTGGTGGAAATAAAACTAACTTGCAGCTCCCCAGTAGCCACCTTGTCCTGGAGAAAGTGAAAATTGATCTCAACGTGCTTCGTCCTCGCATGAAACACAGGATTAGCACAAAGATACGTCGCACCAAGATTATCACACCACAAGCGCGGCGTAGCACCAGGAGGAAAACCAATCTCGTAACAATGACACAATCCAAGTAACCTCCGCCGAAACATCTGCAAGGGCCTTGTACTTAGCCTCAAAAGACAACCGAGCAACCGTTCTCTGCTTGTGACAGACCCACAACACCAAATTCAAACCACAAAACCACTAGTCGACTTCATATCAACAGAACAGCCAGCCCAGTCCGAATCTGAGAAGGCATGAAGATCAGTAGATGAAGAAGCAGCCAACCATATCCCAAAGTCTACCGTACCCTTGAAATAACGCAAGACGCGCTTCAGAAGCTCCTAATGACCAACTGTAGGAGAGGGCGTGCATGAACTGACAGAGACGATTTACCGCATAAGATAAATATGGCTGGGTAATAGTAAGATACTGCAAGGCACCTGCTAGACTGCGATACTGAGTAGGATTTTCATACAGCTCATCAGAAGACTCAGTCCGAGAAATCGAGGCCGGAGTGGCAAGCGGTTTGCAATTAGACATGCCAGCCAGCTTCAGAATATCTCCCATGTACCTGCGTTGAGAAAGAACCACCCCCTGTTAACAAGAATAGTCTCGATACCAAGAAAAGACCGCGGTGACCCCAAGTCACGGATCTTAAACGCAGACAAGAGCTAACCAAGCAAAGTATCCAGTACAGCAGTATCATTAATCATCAAAATTATATCATCAACATAAACAAATAAAAACACCCTGGAGTCCCCCACCGACTCCACCGAATAGTAAAACAATGAAACATCAGTTTTAGAAGACTAGAAACCCACAAAAAATAAGAAGGTCATGCAACCGTTTGAACCAATCTACTAATCTCCCCGTAACTGCGTCAAAAATTTGATGCTAGTGGTTTTAACACCAAATAATAAGTTAAAATTTTAAAAGTCTATTCAACCCAACCCTTTTAGACTTTTACCTCCCGGGACAAACACAAACTAAATATGAATGAATATCATAAGCATTGTCATTTATCAAGATCATTTGTGTAGCTAAAAGAATAAAAAACAATTAGATTTCACGTATATTTTATAACTTATAAGATAATATGATTAATATATGCTCATGAATATATTTTCTATCTTCGAATGAAAAACTTGGCGGGGTGGGAGTCGGACGGAGGCGAGGCAAGGCGAACGGAGGTGAGCCAGACGGAGGCGAGGTGAGGCGGAGGCGTGGCGAACAGAGGCGAGGCACGCGGAGGGAGGAGGGATTTTTTTTATTTTTTTTATTTTTTTTTTATTTTTATTTTTTTGTCGTCAATGAAAGCTTAGATTTGATTTGCGATTTGGGGATTTTTTTTAGTGATTTTCCGCAGCACCCTCAGGGGTGAGAGCTGCGGAATGTTATATTATTATTATTATTATTATTATTATTATTATTATTATTATTATTATTATTATTATTATTATTATTATTATTATTATTATTACTATTATTACTATTATTACTATTATTACTATTATTATTACTATTATTATTATTATTATTATTATTATTATTATCTATATATATCTACTATCTACTATCTATCTACTATACTAATAAGAGCCCAAGAGTAGGGGTGTGCATCGGGCGGGTCGGGCGGGTTCGGGTTGCGGGAATGGGGATCCGTTCGGTTCTCGGATTACCACTATTGAATCCTATCCGTGTAATTTCTAAGTCTAAACTTTTCGGATATGTAAATATCGGATATCGGACGGGTTGCCTCGGATTACGGATAAAACGGATATGAAATAAAAATTAATAAAAACAACTAATTAACTACTGAATGAGTAAATCACCACTAAATAAGTTATAACTTGTTAACTTCTAAGTAGTTAACAAGTTACAACTTCAAAATTACAAGTTCACAAATCACAAGTACAAAGTAACTTGTTACAAGTTAATGAAGCTAACAACTTTACAGCTTACTACTTACAAGTTACAATTCAAAAAGAGTTTATAGATTCAATTTCTCAAAAATAAAGCTGTTAAGTGTTAAGGCACCATTCAAAAACCAAATGCAGCAACATCCAACAGCAATCACTCCAACCAGCAACTCAGGCAGCATCAGCATTCCTCATCTTCCTGCTTAAGTTGCAAATTTAAATAGCAAATAACAAAAACAAAAAAATGAAAAGAATAACAGTTTAAAGCTTTTTTGCTAAAAAATCCAAAATAGGCTCAGATTGCTGTTGTTTCATAGATTTGAGGGAAATTGCTTCTAAAGTTTTGGAACTAAATCCAAAACTTGAGCAACATACCAACCCCAAGTCCTTTGATTCAGACAAAGGTGGAAGCATCATCATAGCCCATACTACACATACCTGTAACCTGCTGTTCAAATGTTCAATCAAGTGGAACTGTGGATAGGGGCTGAGGCACTAAAATGCAATTACATAATTGAATTCATAAGCCATAAATAAAAACAGAATGGTAATCTAATTTTCTAAGAGAACAGAATAAGTGAATAACAACTAAATATAAAGCTGAGAGCAGAATGAATGAACATTACTACAATGGTTGGTAGGGAAGTTCCAGCAGTCCTAACTCCAGTTGGCAACTCTGCAAAAAAAAACACATTAACTATCATACAAATAATGAAATAAATACACAATAATGAAAATAATTAAGTAAACTACTATTACCTTTCTCAAGCCTTTCACAATCATCAATATTTTCTTCAATTTGAATAGGTTGATTTGGTAATCTCAACCAATCCTGTGTACAAATTAAAGCTTCCGCAATCTTAGGAGTTAAGGAACTCCTAAATGGATCCAACACTCTACCACTGGTTGAAAAAGCACTTTCAGAAGCCACAGTGGATATTGGAACTGCAAGAATATCCCTTGCCATTTTAGAGAGAATTGACAGTCTTTCAGAGTTCACCTTCCACCATTTGAGGATATCAAAATCAACCTTATCTTCCACAATGGCCTCACTCAAATATATTTGCAGGTCAGTCTGTTTTAGGCTTCCACCACTCTCCATCCTTTGCCTTTTCAATTGAGATTTCAGCTTACCTTGTAGCTTACCAACAGTTACAGCACTAGGCTGCACACTCACAGAGACAGTTTGAGAAGGTTGGCCAACAGCAGCTGGTTCAGGGTTCACATCCACAGAGTAAGTGGCAGCATAATCATTGTACAGCTCAAGAAGTGCAGATTGGATCTTCTCAAAACAGGATTTCCCTTTTTCATCACCATATAGTTGAGTTAACTGGGCAGGCATGTACTCAACCTTATCTCTAGGATCCAAAATAGTGCCAAAGAGATCACAAAGTTCATTTTTTCAGGGTCCCCCCAATATTTCAAAAACTTAGTTTTCATTTGGGTGCCCATTATCTGTAAATAAACAAATAAATAACATTAGTTAATAATTTAATATACACATTTTGTTAAACAGTAAACATTTTATTTAAGGGATGTAATTTACCTTCTCAGGACCAGCTTCATCACAAGTCATGTCATCTAACATGCAACTAAGATCAGAGATCTCACTGAAGAAAGTGTTAGATGTAACGTATAGAGAACCAGAAATTCTCACAGTCATGTCATAGAAAGTTTTTAGCAGAGTTACCAAACTTTTCACATTAAACCAATCCATAAAAGTAGGCACAGAGGTACCCAGATCATCAGAAAATGAGGGATCATTTCCCAGATAGGCATCAAAGACTGCCTGGTACTGGATTGCAGTGTTCAACATCATATATGTGCTATTCCATCTTGTAGGAACATCCAACTGCAAAGCTGATTTGGCTTCCACCCCAATAAGTTCAGCAAGATCTCTAAATTTTTTTAGCCTTGCAGGGGAGTTCCTAACCCATCTAACTGCTTCCCTAACCCTCTTAACTGAAGAATCAGCAAACTTCAACCCATCTTGCACCACCAGATTCAGAATGTGGGCTATACACCTTATGTGCATGTACTTAGACCTTACAGAAGTGGTACCCCAAGACATCAACTTACTCTTAAAAAATCTCATGGCAGTATCATTGGAAGAGGCATTGTCAACTGTGACAGTAAAAACATTCTTAATACCCCACTCAACCAGACAAGTCTCCAAGGCCTTGGCTATATACTCTCCCCTATGAGATGAAACAAGGACAAAGGCTATGATTTTTTTGTTCAGCTTCCACTGATCATCAATGAAATGTGCAGTAATGCACATGTAGTTTATCCTCTGTACAGAGGTCCATGTGTCAGTGGTTAAGCTGACTCTTTGGGAGCAACCCTTAAAGATTTGTTTAAGGACTGATCTCTCATCTAGGTATCTTTGGAAAATATCCCTTGAAACTGTCCACCTAGAAGGAATTTGGAACCTTGGGCAGGCAACTAGAATAAATCTCCTAAACCCTATCACATCAACAAACCTAAAGGGCAACTCATCTATTATAATCATCTCACACAAAGCCCTCCTAATGGCTTCCTGATTAAACACCCATGTGCCTAATTCCCCCATTACCCCTTCAGAACCCCCTGGTGCAGAGGATGAGACAGCATTGAAAGTCAGAAGTGACTGCCTTGTATCCTTCAAGTGAGGATTTTTAAGACAGGCCTTCATATGATTTCTTAAAGATGAAGTGCCATGTTTTTTTGGCTCAGCACAAAAGATCTTAGCACAATAATTGCACCTCCCCTCAATCACATTATCCTCTTCATCATATATCTTTACAAAGTGCTCCCACACCCTGGATCTGGACTCAACCTCTTTTCTCTTTTTCTTTGGAACTACAGGAGTCACCTGAGGCTGCTGAGGTATCTCAGTGCCTTGGGGTTGTCCTTGTCCCTCTTGAGTTGAAGGTTGGGGTCCAGAACTAGGTTGACTGATGCTCTCCATCTAAAAAGATGGGCATCAACATTCAGATTTCAAACAATTGTTTGTCATACAGATTAACAGACCAAGCATTCAAGCATTGAAAGAAATCCAGATTCAAACACTTCTTTGTGTCATCATCTATCCAGATTTCATATATAACTATATAATATTACATTTACATATTTACATTATGCACAAACAGTTAAGAACATTTAAGGGTCATACATCCATAAACATATTCACAAAGAAATCCAGATTCAGGAACTTTATCCAGTTCATCATTATCTGGATTTCAGTTAAGGGCTTCCACCATTTCGCATTTAAGCCTTTAACTTTTTAAGGGACATCACAATTCAGATTTCAGAATAGATCACATAACATTGATAACAATATAACATCAGTACATCACAAAACATCGGATAATCAATTAATCACAACACTTTTCAGTTAAGGGCTTCCACCATCAGAAGATTCAAAACATCAGATAAACAGAATATATCACAACTCACAGTTTAGGGCTTCCACCATTCAACTATAACATATTCTGATATTCATAATACAACACAAACAAATCAACATTCAATTAGCCACTGACTAATCATACAAATCATACATTAAAAAACTAGGGTTTGCGATTACAACAGCTTCCACCAAAAAAATATAACATATTCACAATACAACACAAACAGCTCAACATGCAGTGAATAAAATCAACAAAT